ATTTTCATTTATCTCTCTATATTGATAAAGTTTTCTACATTTAGGATAATCTCGAAGATATTTTTTTTTAAATTCTGGAAAATTCCGTCACCAATAAACAGTATCATTTTCAATTATATGTTCACCATCAATATCCTTTGTAAACATTTCACCTTTTTTTATAATTTCTTCTATGGTAAATTCTCCATTTCTATATTTAACATCTCATTCCATATTACGAAATTTTATTTCATTACCTTTACGGAATATTATCTCTGTTGTTCTTCTTTCTATTTCATCATTCCATTTACCTTTAAATTCAATCACAAAATAAGACGTCTATTAAACTGTTCAAGATCACATTTATTTGAATCATCGTCAGTTAATCTTATACCAAAATTATATGCTTCTTCAGATGGTTTGGTACTTGTCATAAATATATATTTAGCTGTCATATGTTCAAATCCACCATATTTACTTTGAACTTTATGATTACTATCATTTAATAAATTAACCATAGTATTCCAATCAATTTTTGTATAAAATTCATCTAAAAATAAAATATCTTGTCCTTCATAACCATTCCACCAACTTGAACCACTTCTCATTTTTTCTTGTTTATCAAATAATTCATTACCAAATAACTCTGTAACTAATCCGGATTTTCTACTTCCACCAGGTCCATAAAGATAAAATACAACTGGACGCCAAAATCTTCCACCTCTTTTCAATTTTCTAAAATATTTCATATCTTTTCGAATTTTTTCAAATCCATTAGGTGTTTGATGCCAAGATAATGGTGCTTTTGTACCAGCATTCATTATAATTTCTTCATATGACATATTTTCTTTTCTAATATTTTCTACTCTTTTCAAATCCTCAAGTAATATTTCATTTTTTTCTCTTACTAATTCAGCATTAGACATGTTTTTGATTTCATCTACTTTATTATTATTTCTATCAATATTATTATCACTATTAATATCATCATCATCATCAATACCAAGATTAAAAAATTTCCAAATTGAAATGGTCCAATTAAACTTGCTAAGCCATCTATTCTACATTTTAACCGTTTAGAACATTTATCATTACAAACTCCACATATATAATCTTCATCTTCAAAATAATGACATTTACATCCTTTCTTTTCATGTTTTTTACATTTATTATAAAGTTTTCTTGCATATTTAACATTAGA